GGCACTGGCGCACTGGAAGCACGGCCTGCAGCAGCAGTGGCGTCGGAACTAGGTGGAATTCCAGGGGCAGCCCCAGCAGCAGTGGCAGCAGTGGCAGCAGTGGCGGCAGTGGCAGCATTCACACCCACACCGCCGTGCCAGCTGTCGCCGAACAGCGCCGCCACGACAGCAGCGTCGTCCACCCGTGTGCGCGGCAGCCTCAGCACCTCCAGCCGCCCGCATCTCCTCGCCAGCTGGCGCCACGCTGCGGGTCGCACGTTCACACAGCCGCCCAGACTCAGCTGCACCAATCGCGTGCATCCGTTCGCAATAGCCACCACCCCTGCATCAGTCACCCGCCACTGGACAGCAGGAAGGGCAACACGCACGGAGGCCCTGGCATAGGCGGACGTGTAGTAGAGAAAGTCGTTGCTGCCACTTCCCTCAGCAGACGCAACAGGGATGAACCGAGCTAGCGGCTGCGCGTGCAAGGCGGTGAGCTTCGGGCAGGACTGGGAGATCTCCAGCAGAACAGTGTCTGACGCCAGGGGGAGGGCGAGGCGCTCCAGGAGAGGCAGGCCGCGGATGGCCCGGCAGAGTGCCTCCTCGCTCCTCCCCGGCTCGCCATCGGGAGGGGGTGGGGAACGCAGCACCTCAGTTCGGGACAGATCCAGGGTGGTGAGGTGGCGGAACAGGTGGCTCACAGCCAGCCATGTGGACGCGGGGGAATTGTGGGCGTGGAAGGAGCGCAGAGAGGAGGAGGACAGACGTGGGACACACAGGCTCGCGCCACTGCCGCTGCCGCTGCTGCCGCTGCTGCTGCTCCTGCCGCTGCCGCTGCTGCCGCCGCCGCTGCCGCCGCCACCGCTGCCACCGGCACTGGTGCTGCTGGTATCCTTCTCTGCGCTGGTGGCGTGGCAGCCAGAAGCGAGGGCGAGCAGCAGCGAGGAGGCGGGAGGCTGATCCCAGGCGACGGAGCGATGGGGTGAGAGGTACAGGCGGAGGGAGGCGAGGCAGGGCGCGAAGGACGACCCTGAGGGGCACCAGAAGGGGTCGCCGGCACTGGGGGGGGCAAGGGAGAGCGAGGAGAAGAGAGATAGAGCATCATCCGACCCCGCTGCTTCTGCACCAGCGGCTGCATTCGCTGAAGTATCCCGCGCTGCTGCTGCACCCGCCTCTGCGCGCCCCGGCTGGGGCGAGGCGCGCGGAACCAGCGCGCCGGACACGAGGGAGAGGCGCTGCAGCGACGGGAGGAGCGCGAGGAGCAGCGCCGCCGACTCCCACGTGACGGCGTCGGACCAGAGCGAGAGCGCCGCCAGAAGCGGGAGTGTGCTGGCCACGTGCTCGACGCACGCGGCCGTGATGTCCGCTGGCGTGTCGAGGTTCAAGGCGCGGAGATTAGGGAGCGAGGCGGCGATGGTGTTCACGTGGAGGTCGGTAAGGAAAGAGCGCTGGGGCGGACGGTTTCGGATGGGGGGAGGCGGGAGGGGCGGAGGCGGTGGGGGCGGAGGCGGTGGGGGGAGCGGGGGGCGCGCACGGGGAGGCGGTGGGGGGTGCAGGACGCACGGACGGGGAGGAGGCGGAGGATGAGATGCGGAAGGAGGTGGGGGAGGGGGAGGGGGGGGAGGCGGGAGGGAAGAGGTAGAGCGAGGAGCGACAGAAGCAGTAGAAGGAGGAACGGAAGGAGGTGGGGGAGGAATGGCACGAGAGTGAGGAGGAGGGGGCGCAGGAGCACGGGGAGGGGGCGGAGGCGGCGGAGGTGGGATGGTGGAGGAGCCGGCAAGCTGAATGCCGTCCGCGTGGCCCCACACGCGATCATGGCTCGGGTATGTGATCTCCGGATCATCACACGGGCTTAACCAGAACCCCCGCAGGTCCACGCACGCGGCAGGGCAGAGAAAGTGGTCCGAGCGGAGATCCAGGCGCTTGAGCTGACGTGGCAGGGCTGGTAACACCACCGTGGCAAAATCTGAGGTGCTCATGGGTAGCGAGTCGAATGTCGGACAGTTCTGCTCGACGCAACCGACCAGAGATAGGGTTTCAATCCTCGAGGCGATTTCAAGGATTCGCACAATGCCGTGGGCCGTCAGCTTATCGTTGTCACCGGCGGTTAAGTTTCTCGCGCCGGGACGGATCTCCAGAGATCGAAGTGTGGCGGCGAATCGAGTCGTCAACTCTAGCATCTGCGCTTCGGAATCAAAGCTACCAAGGATGCTATCAGAACCCGGAGCTAAGCTCTCGAGCAGGAAGGGCGACGGTCGGAGCGATCGCACACACACGCGCAACGCGACGCGGCACCAGCGGCGGCAGACGAAGGCGACCGAGGAGATGGCGAAGCGCGAGGGGAGGAAGGAGAGGACGAGGGAGAGCGTGCCGTCGTCCAGGAGGGCCGTGACGGAAGCGCATTCCGCGGAAAGCTCTTCGCAATCACGGTCACGATCGCGATCCGCGGGAATGTGTGACGGTCGTTCCATGGTACTAATGCGTGCTGTCCGTAATAAGGCTTCTGTACTGTTGAACGAGGGATCTCAAAGTGCTGCGTAGCCTCAACGACACAAAGTGGTTCAAGATCGAGGAATCGTAAGTGTGGGATTATTGAGCTGCGGAGGAAACGCAGTGCCAGAATTTGTTACTGATGAATTCGTGTCTTGGCGATGCGATGATGCTGATGGTCGAGGAGGATGGAAGGAGGCGAGTTCAGAAGGAACCTTCGGTAAGAGCTGCGTGTTTCGGATTCGGAGCGGAGCTGAGGACGCGTTGAAAGTGCAAATATCGCAGGATCGTCTGCATATATCGATCCCCACAATCGAGTGGGCAGATCGTTTGGTGAAACGTGGCGACCGCGACGTTGTAACGATCGCGGCTGAAAATTGACAGATTTCCCGCGAACAGTGAGGACGCGGCACCTGTTTTCATTTTGCCAGGATCGATCGTGGGAGGGGATCGATGTGCCGCTTGTACAGTGTATTGGCGATATCGCGAATGCCTGGTATCCGTTTTTCGCTGAACGTCGAGAATGTACAGTAAACGGGTACCCAAATTGGTGGCACCTGCAGCTCGCACGATCGATGTGCCGTGGTGCATGTGTTAGGGTTGGCGGGAGGGCATATCGCGCCACAGGTGACAGCCTCGATCGATCAGCGTCGCCCACGGTCGCAGGCCGAAAATTCTTGGGTCGCTGCAAATGGAATTGCTGGACGACCATCCACGCTCTGCCCTGATTGGCTGCGCGTTTAAGTGTAATGGCAGCTCCAACCTGCCCGAGCCTGCAATTTCGATCCTGGCACCTATAGCTCGATGTGTCTACCCCACTGCAAATTTGCAGTGTGGGCACATCGGTGTGCCGATCGATATGCCAGGATCGATGTGAGGCCACGATCCTTGTAAAATGAAAACAGGTGCCGCGTCCTGATCAGTCGCATTCTCACACTGTACAGAAATTTTGGCCAGAAAGTGTAGTTACATTGTAGCATGGTTACAGCGTAGTTAATAGGGTAACCTATCCGCACATCGATCGCTACTGACGATCGATCGTCTACTTTCACCGCGTCCTGAGGACACGTCACCTCTTTCCAAAATGGCAGGATCGAGGGAAAATCGGTACTACACACCGATTTTGCCGCGATCGGTATGCATATCGGTGTGCTCCATTGCAATTTTCCGGTCGCGGGGCTCCGCCGAGCCACAGGTGACAAGATAGGAATTTTCTGGGGCAAAATTGCACGATCGCCACAATTGCACGATCGATCATCGGCTTTTGGCACATCGATCGCGTGAGCCCTAGGTGACACCTTCTGGATGACCAATTTACTGTACATTCTCGAAAGTTCCCGAAACCTGGAAACATCATATTTCGCCAACTTGCGAAAGTACTGTGCACCAGACACGCCGATCGTGTGCACGATCGATCGCCCTCTTGAAGAAAGAGGTGACGCGTCCTGAGCGGGTGGGGTGAAGTCATAGCGCGTGTCAGGCGTCTTCATATTTGCTCAAAACCCTACCCAAACGCAATGAATCGTAAATGACATGCACAACATCGTACACCACCGCAATCAGCGAATTCTTACCACACCCTCTCGAGCTGATTGAATTCACTGGTCTGACCAGATCGAACGGCCTCTGGATTGGATGCCCTGAGTAGACGGTTGCGATATTCGCTTTGGTGATTGTCAGCTCAGTTGCGCAGAGGTGAAGCGCTGCGCCCACATCTGACTTCGTCTGTCCGTCCCCTTGGCATTTGCCGTTGGATTCAGGAACACGGCATCGCACTGGAGGTGTGGGTTTCTCCGCGCTGGGGAGGTGACATCGCCCAGACAGTGATGTGTTTGAGTGGAGCATCACCCCTACTACGTCCGCCATAATGTCCACCCGCACTGTGTTATGGGACTTTTATCCAGAAAACTATGGTACACAGAAATTTCATTCAAAAATCAATACAAAGGTACGAATTATTGAAACATGAACCCATCATGCAAAAACGTGAGCCCTAGAGTCTCTGCGCTCATGAAAAAAAAAACCCTTAGAGGGGACTGGGACCCTCTGTCTATCCGCAACAGCTCCTGGTTACTACAGGTGCTTCATCAAGTCAGAAACGCTCAAGGTGTCACCCCCACCCAGAAAGCTGAACACACTGTGCGCACTACTTGATTTTGGCATGGGCCAGGGCGCACAAGCATGCCCGGGGTTGCTTTCATCAAGGATTCCTGCCTCGGTGGCACCAGTCAGCATGGCTGAAGCACTGCGTTTCAAGCCAATCGAGTAGGGCTCTTGGCTATCAACAAAGGAACTGCCAGCTGACCAGCCAGATGATCCCCATGGAGGACTCACATCCGCTGCTTCCAGCCAAGGCGGCTCCTCACACCAGAAATCATCAGAACACAACTCAGAGAGGAAATCCTCGAAAGAAATGTCGGCATGCGCCAGTCCTCTTGGTCTTGCTTCTTCTGGACTCGCCGCCGCAAGGCCATCCTCGAATGAAAAGCCCGTGACGGGAAGTCCAAATGAATTGTCACGTGCAGCAGCATCAGCTGTGGGAGGGCTGCACGCCTCAGGGTGGAACCTCTGATCCAGATCAGCAGACAGTGCCTCGAAAATTCTACTGCTGGTGGGCCAGTGTTCACCGGCTGAGTTGCTCGCGTTCTCAGTAGACGCTGCCTCGTCAGAGGGCGTCAGACGGACCCTCTTCTCCGCACACAGCGAGTGTCCACCCAGAGATTCATTTTCAGCAAAGAAGTGGCTCAGACTTCCGGATTCAGACGCCGATCCGCAGGAGTTGAACGGAAGAGACGGCGGCATCGCGGGTGACGGCGGCGTCACAGCAGCTGACTCGCTGCTGCTAGTGAAGGCGACGCTTTGCGGCAAGAGGTTTGCCGCAATCGTCGCGGCAGCAGCATCATCCGACGGCGAGTCAGACCAAGCGGGATCGGCTTCAACTGAGGAAGAAATAACGCCTCCGGAGATGGTGGGTCTGATGGGGAACTTCGCCCTGGTGAGAGCGCTGCTGCTTGCAAGTGCAGACGGCTCAGGACGGATTCCGGCTCTGCTTGGAGGGGAAGTGAGCGAGCTGTTGGTGGTAACCACGGCAGTAAGGTTACAGGAGCTCGAATTCGCAGAGCTGGAGGCGCACTCCAGGGCGACGGCGGAGCTCGAATGTGCAGCGTTGGATGGATACGGGCCCTGGCCGAGAGCATCGCTGGAGCCGTCGCAGTTGAGAGGAATGGAGTGGTTGTGAGAGCGGTTGGTGTACTTGGTTTGGGTGGTGGCGGACGAGATGGGGGGGCGGCGATCGTAGTCGACAGTCTTCTTCGCTCGGCAAGCAGGCTTGTTCTTGGAGGAGTAGCACTTGAAGTAGCACCTGCTGTCAGAACATTATAGCTTATGCTGTTGTGTAGGCTATAGTGGGGTATTCCATAGGGGGTACAACCAATTAGGGTTTCATATTTGTACTCACTTCATTTCATAGTTCATTCATTCTTGTTCAAATCTTCTCATGGTATCGAGCAGGTTCCCCCTTGGGAACTGTGCTTAGGGCCCACCACATCGATTTTTTTTTCCTGCCCGAAGCGCGCTCAGCCCGAGTCGCGCTCCGGGCCCTCACTTCGTCGAGCCGCCCTAGCGGCCCTGCACTGCGGCCCCGCCACCCGTCTCCGCGGCCCCGCCGCCCGTCTTCGCGGCCCCGCCGCCTCTCTCCTAGCGGCCCCGCCGCCCTACCTAGCGGCCCCGCCGCCTCTCTCCTAGCGGCCCCGCCGCCCTACCTCGCGGCCTCGCCGCCCCATTGCGCGGCCCCGCCGCCCTACCTAGCGGCCCCGCCGCCCCATCGCGGCCCCGCTGCCCCATCGCGCGGCCCCGCCGCCCTACCTAGCGGCCCCGCCGCCCTACCTAGCGGCCCCGCCGCCCCACCGCGCGGCCCCGCCGCCCCATCGCGCGGCCCCGCCGCCCCATCGCGCGGCCCCGCCGCCCTTCCTCGCGGCCCCGCCGCCCCATCGCGCGGCCCCGCCGCCCTACCTAGCGGCCCCGCCGCCCTTCCTCGCGGCCCCGCCACCTTACCTGCGGCCCCGCCACCTTACCTGCGGCCCCGCCCTTACCTGCGGCCCCGCCGCCCTCTGCTGCGGCCCCGCCACCTTACCTGCGGCCCCGCTACCTTACCTGCGGCCCCGCCACCTTACCTGCGGCCCCGCCGCCCTCTGCTGCGGCCCCGCCACCCTATCTGCGGCCCCGCCACCCTACCCGCGGCCACGCCGCCCTTACCAGAGGCCCCGCCGCCCTTACCTGCGGCCCCGTCACCTGCTGCCCAGCCGTGCCGCCCTGCAGCAGCACAGCCGAGCCGCCCAGCAGCCGAGCCGCCGAGCCGCCCAGCAGCCGAGCCGCCCAGCAGCCGAGCCGCCGAGCCGCCCAGCAGCCGAGCTGCCCAGCAGCCGAGCCGCCCAGCGGCCGCGCCGCCCAGCAGCCGAGCCGCCCAGCAGCCGAGCCGCCCAGCAGCGGA